TTTAAAAAATTAAATTTGTTTTTTTTTTCCTTGATTTCTGCTTTTTTTTTGATCTTATTGTTTATAAAAGTATTATTGTTATCTAAAAATTTAAATTTTCATAAAAATGCCAAGAGAAATTTTAGTGTACAATGAGCAAGAAATACACAAAAAAATGATGTTAATGGAATGCTCATAAAAAACTGATGGTTGTATTATATTAAGAAAATGGACATAGTATTCGAGCAATAGCAAATAAATGTGATATTGAATCAAAACAAATTTGTGATTGGAAAAGCAAAAAAAATGACTTAATGTGTGTAGCTCCATATATTTAACGACTTAATATTGATATATGGCCTAAATATCCACAACTTGAAGATGAACTTTTAGAATAGTTTTGTGAGTTACGAAGACAACTAAAAACAGTAACTAGATATATGATTGATATAAAAGCTCACAGTTTAGCTAAAAAATAAGAATACTTTATTTTATATTCTGATATTCATAAATGTCAATTTTCACAAAAATGGGTCAATAAATTTATGTCTCGTCACTTATTGGTAAATCAGCGATATACTACAGTAGCACAAAGATTACCTGAAGAATATATTGAAGAACAACAAAATTTTTTATCATATATTCTTTATTTATGAACTGAACATAATTACCTTTTAAATTTAATCAGAAATATGAATGAAATTCCTATGTCATTTAATATGCCAAGTCAAACAACTGTTGATAAATGTGAAAAATGAACTATTTCAATTCTTACAACTAGCCATAAACATACCAATTTTACAGTAACTCTTGATTGTCTTGCAGATGGTACTAAACTTCCTCCATTTATTATTTTTAAGTTAGTTAATATACCACGAGAATAATTTTTAAATGGTGTATATATTCATATAACTTCTAGTGGATAGATGAATGAAAAAGAAATGATTTGGTGAATAGAGAATGTATGGTGTCAACGGGCTAATTTGAGTTCAAATCCACGTTCACTTCTTGTTCTTGATTCATTTACTGCTTATAGAACAGATGTTATTAAATGTTATCTCTGTGAAAAAACACAAATATTGCTATTATTCCAGGTGGATTAACTTCACGCTTACAACTATTAGATGTATCCTTAAATAAAGTATTTAAAGCTAAGGTTCGTATAAAAAATACATTATATAAAGCAAATAAATATTGTTATATAATACTTATCTAATATTTCATTAATAGGTTTGTCATGCTTATAATCATTGGATAGGTGAGGCTATAAAAGAATATACACTATCAGATAAAATCTAACAACCATTATATTTATTATAGCAAATTGGATTAAAGAAGCATGGGATAAGATTGACCTTATAATTATACAATGGTCCTTTAAATGTTGTGGAGTTTCAACAGAAGTAGATGGCTTTGAAGATCACTCGATTTTTGATTTTGAGAAAGTTTCAGGTAAAAGAAGTGAAAGAATTAGTGTAAAAGAAAAAGGGGAAGATGACGAAATTTTAGATGGTAACAGTGATTTAGAATGTGAATATTATGAAAATGAAGAGGGAAATTATATTAATACTTGGGATTAGTTAATTAATATAATAATGAATAACAAACCTTATATTCCTGCTAAATTTAGTTTTATCTTCAATATATTTTTGCAATATTCTAAGCACATTTTGCAGTTTACAATATTAGTATAATGAAATAATAAATACAAAGATAAAAGTAATAAAACTTGGCTTATTTTTCAGAGTTGTTCATTTTTATATTAATAATATATAAAATAAATTACAAGTTTTTTTGCGATTAAAAGCCTTTTGTGATAAAAGTTTTTTGTAATTAAAAAAAAAAATCAGATCTAATTCGTTAATTTTAAGTATCCAGGTATTAATCAATTTTTCACAGATTTGATTTTGAAAAGGACCTGGATACTAATCATGTTTAGATTATTGTCGACCGTAAATAGTATTCAGGTCTTAATCATAGGGGTATTATTTTTAGAGAATACTGTACAGTGCTATACGATATATTTTAATAAACTATCAATCACAAATTAGAATAATAAAAAATTATCATAAAAATAATAATTATATAATATACTTTAATAATAAATAAATATATTGTATATAATATGTATAAAATTATATTTATATATTATAATAATACATTATCATTTTATTGACTAAAACTTATAATAAACAATTTGTTATGTAATATAAATATTATATAATGAACTTATTTATAATGAATAAAAATTATTAAAATATTAGGTTTATTATAACCAGCTTTGATTGTATTATACAAAAAAAATACAGTTATTTTCTTTATAATCACATCTTTTAAAACTAAAAATAAATGTATGATTATAATAAAAAGTGACTATATAGATAGATTTTTATATATTATTACTAAGTGATAGTTCTGAAAGAGTATGATTATAAAAATACTATAATTATAAAAGGGTTTTTTTATATAATATTAATAGGTATTAGTTTTATAAAATGTATGCTTATAATGAAAAATTTATATGATATAATTATATAGGAAATAACTATAGAAAGAATAATGTATAATAAAAGAGAACATTAATTATAATTTATAGTAATTATTAATCATCTTTTTTTCTTTTAAATTTTGGAATTTTTAAATAAAATTATATTATATTATATAATATAAATGATATAAATTTTGTGATTTTAGTTTTATTATTTTAATTCTAACCTTTTTTCAACTTTAAACTTTATTTTTTCTTTTGGTTTTTTTTATTTTAGACTATCAATTTTTTGATATTAATTGATATTTTTTATAATTAAAAAGTTGTATTTAGGAATTAAACATTTAAAATACATTTAAATATGTAATTAAAAAATATATAAAAAATTATATTAAATAAAAAATTTGTAAAGTGATTAAAAATTATTTATAAATATATTCAGAAATAAAGTTTAGAGCTGTTAGACTATCTAGTTTAAAGTTTATAAAAATGATGACACATTAGCTTATTATTCAAAAATTTCTATTGAATTATATAAAAATCTTTTATTGATTTTAATATTCTGATTATATTAAGTATTTTTTAATATAAGACTCACAGATCATAAGGTTTAATGCAAACAGATTACTTTAATATTAACAATATTAAATACTGATTACTATTGCTATAATAGCTTTATAATTTTATTTATTATAATTACAATTATTACAATATTTAATAATAAAATAATAATAATAATTAATGAGATACTAATAGTAATTATATATCAAAAAAGCTAATATGTAACAAATCACCAAAAAGAATTCCAAGTCCCCATATATTATAATATCTTTTTCAATTTCACGAATCATTTGTGTGAATCGGAATAATATTATAATATTAAAAACTACAGGTTATTGAGGTTATTGATCAAATATACAAAATTTTTATATAATTACTGTTTTATTATTATTTTTATTTTATTTTTTTTTTTTTTTTAAAAAAAAATTGATAATTTTCGCTTGTTTTATTAAACAATTATCCTATGTACAGTATAATATCAATCTATCTGCTAGTCTCGACAAGAACGTAAACCTCATGGCGTGGTACATCAACTAGATAATAATAATAAAAATTTTAACATAAATCTCATCTATAGATTAGTTTTAATTGGAAAATTGATTTACCCATTGTTACTTCAGTATTTGTTTCATTAATTTCTTTTTCATTCGCAATATCTTCATGAGAAGCTTTTCTCATATTTTCTGTAATATTGTCCTTTTGTAAAGAACGTCGCTTGCGAGGTCGTCTGTAAAATAAACTCCGTTTCCTCCTTTTTGCTTTTAATAATAAAAAGTAATGATGTTAATGACATTTAAACATAATATTAAAAAACAATATATACTTACCACTGTTTGGTGATGAATTACGTTTCATATTGGTAAATGATGGTGTATGTTTTCCAATGGATGATGATGAAGTGCGCTTTCCGACAGACGATAATTTTCGTTTTTTAGATTCTACTTTTTCTTCTTTTACATTGGTTTCAGAGTTAATTTCCCACCAGTTACCGGGTGCTCGTATGCGACGACCAGAAAATGTAACAGTTTCTCCATCTCCTAAAGAATCAACACTTAAATCTAGATTCGTTTCAATTCTTTGCTCATTCTTTATAGGACTAGGACTCGAATCGACATTCAATTCGGTTCTTTGCTCATGTTTTAAAAGATTCAAACTTAAATCGACGTTTAATTCGGTATCCTGTTCATTTTTTAAACTCGAATCGAAGTTCGATTCAGTTTCCAGCCCATTTTTTAAATTACTAAGATTTGAATCGACGTTAAATTCGGTTTCCTGCTCATTACTTAAAGGACCAATTTTTTCACCTTGACCAGAAGGTTCTAATTCAGCAAGCAGAAGTTCTCGCCAATCCTCTGGAAAACCATCCTCAAACGCTTTAATCAGTCCTTCCGAGAAACCTATTTTAAATATTATTAATTATAATTATGTAATATAAAATATTTCTTATAAGTAAGAAATATTTACCATCCGCCTTCATTTTTTTAGCCGATAGCTTCCCAATAAGTGTATAAGACTTGTCTTTTGCGGTTTGTATAAGCTTATTATTCTCTCTTGCAATTACAACAGCACTATGCCATTTCTTTAAAAAAAAAAAAAAAAATGGATAAGATTAACTATACTCAAAAGATCTTTTACACCCTTTATCTTACATTACGTGTTCCTTTTATAATTCCAGACAAGACCACCCATAAATTAATTCTCTCTGATACCTAATGAAATAAATATTTCTGAATATTTTGAAATTATTTATATAGGATGGATTAAAATAAAATATATACTTCTGGAACAAATATATCATTAATAGATACGACTTTTAGGTGCCATTTGATAAGCTCTAAATAATTTCCATTTTCAGGTGCATGTTCTATTTGATCACTTTGGCTTTCTCGTATTATTTGTTTGCCTTTATCAAAGTTTTGCAGATAATTTGTTTGTTTGAAATCTCTGTCGTTGAACGAGACCATTTTAACCTCTTCATCTTGACAAGTTGAATCATTATTGTCATTAATTAAATTTTCCACCCTGGAAGTTGGAGTATCGTCAACAAATATAAGACGATTCGCATTAATTCCGTTTGAAAAAGAACCAAGAGCATAATGTAACTGAGGAGAACTTCCTCGCACAGGCAATGGTCTAATTGGTGATTTCAGTTGATTTTCCATCTTTTCATGTGAATTCCCGGTAGTAGAAGGTGAATTAGGTTGAAAGCTATTAAAATTAAGTTTGTTTAAAAATAATAATTGCTCAGCCCTTTGATGTAAAGACAAATTATAGTTTACTGGTGTTGATCCAAGTGAGGGGGTCCTAAAAGCGGAATTCCCAGATCTATTTAACAAATGACTGGGAGTTGGAGAACGTAAAGCATCCTCGTTTTGATTTTTAAAGATATCAAATAAGGCATCCTTGGAGATCGGACGCTTTTCGCCCATATGCGAGTATTTAACAGAATATTTAACACAGTAAAGAAAGTAATTTGTGCTTTCAAACTGATGGTAGTTTGATCGCAATTCATCAATTACACTATTTACGTAACATCAACGTGATATTAAACATACGCGACAACTAGGTAAGACGGAAATGAGTGGTGTAGGATCGACCATTTGTGTAATGTATGACATAAAAAACATAAAAATCCGTAGATGTTACAAACTTTTTATCAGGGATTGAATTTATAATACTATATTAAGCACTGACTATAGAAGACATTTTTAATAAACCGCAACTGTATATGTCACGTGATATATACTTTAAAATTATTTATTTATACATAGGGTTGGACGATAGGGGGTCTACACCCCCTCCCTAGATTAAGAACGCCCGAATCATACGCGACGCGATAATCACGTGAAATAGCAATATTAAATTATCTTACTGTGAAATGTATGATACTTTTAATGTGAATAGGAGTTTTAATGTGAACAGGAAGAAGTATATATATATTATTGTCATAATGGTATTAATATTGGGGGGAATAATTCTTGTGTTCAGTGATAATATCATTATTGATTATAAAATTTTAAACCAAGCAAAAGCTTTTGGAATTGCCAGATTTGCTAGAAAAAATTTGAGATCAGGTAAATAAAAAGGGTAGTATCATTTAATATTTTGTTATAAATATTAAATGATAGGTATTTTCTTTAATATATGGTTATTATTGACATTACTGTTAGTGATAGTTAAACCAAATGATTTTAATGCTGAAAGTAAAGCAGCTCACCAATCTTTGAATTTAAAAGTATTATTGTAAGGTTAATCTAAAAGAGGTAACTGAATTAACCATTTATTTTGTTAAAGTAAATGAAAGTAAGGTAAAAAATTGTTTCTAATAAATCTTTGTTATTAATGAATTTAATAAAGTTTGATAGTTTTACCTATGTTTGAGCTGAATAAAGATATATAATATTATAAAATAGTAAGAAATGGATTATAGCTACTGGTGTACTTTTCATTAAATATAAGTTTGATCTAAAAGTTTTCTGTAATATTCTATGATCTGGTCATAAAATTTGTAATCAAAAAATGTTAATTATA